TATACGTGTTAAAACTAATGTACTTTTCAAGGATAACCAGGCTTTCAGGAAACTTCACTTAACATTACAAGTATGGTAGATACTTGTACACTTCATTCCGGATCGATAACCAACCACCAACTTTTAAGGAAAATAAGGGTTTTTCGTGGGATAGCTTAACATTTCATAAACTGGATGTTTAACAAATGGATAACTAAACTTCTTTTATAAGAAAATATGGGATTTTCTTGGATAACAACTTTTCATAACACCAAAGGAAACTTATTCTTTTACCATAAACAAACCGCTTATGAACTCACCAACTTTATGCTGATATTTTTAAAACTGCTTGCATTCTCAGGTTCTCGTTAGACAGGTATCCCGCGTTATTTTGGAGAAGACGGAGTGTATATAAGTCTCGTCTTTACTTTTGTTCAAACTGATGTTTATATAAAACATGTATTATTTTGCTTTCAAACAGATGTAAATATTCTTATGTAATGTAATGGTTGTGTTTACTATGCTTCCTATGTATATTGGTTGTGATACTTTACATGACGTCCTCCTCCCCGGAATGTTTCCGCCATCAGTTTCGGGGTGTGACAGATATTCCACATTTCAAGCACAAATTGCTACATGAACATATGGGTGCATGCAAATATCCAATAGTTAACTGAAAATGGACTTGTATCCCCCCCCCCCCCAAAAAAAAGTATGAAAAAGACGAAAATAGTGGGGTATGAAGCTCACCCTGATTTTGTGTGGTAGGAAGAAGAATAAGAAAGAAGTTGTTGAGCGTAGCCTTGTGTAACTTGAAGACTATTAGAAAATGGGTGATGTTCTAAGGATCATGCACACGAAATGGGTGTGTAAATGGAGTGATTTTAACACTAACATGTATAAAAGTACTTGGGTTACACAAGGAACTTACCAAAATGTTCAAGGACCACTTGAAGAAGTATCATCCTTTGAAAGTAGTTCACGAAAACTTGAGAGAAAAGGGAGAGGTTTTTGGAAGCAAAATGAGTGAAGTGAATTTGTGATGTGTGTGTATGTGTGTGTTGGCCGCAACTATAAAAAAAGGAGGAGGGAATTGAGAGATTTGATGCATGGTGGTCTATAAGGTGTAGTTCATGGGTGCATGGAAGTTAATGGCATGTGAGGTATTGATGTATGGTGGGTAACTCAAGGTAAAGTTATGAGGTGGCAAGATTTTTGGTTTTTTTGTCTCATCCCCAACCGATTTCATCAATATATAAGTGGGGTATTCAGTTTTTAGGGTGGCTGAAAACACCCTATCTGCTTGATGGGTTCTCGGTTTGAAGTGTGTATGGGCTTTGGACTTAATTAGGCCCAATAAAAAGGGTTTTCGGTCCAACAAGGCCCAAAGAAAGGGTTTTCGTTCCAACAAGGACCAAAGAAAGGGTTTTCGGCCCAATAAGGTATTTGGGCCGAGAACTCTAAGCAAAGGCCTACAATTCGATTTTGTTTAGCTATTGGGTCAAACTTAGGCTTATAAGAGGCTATTTCGACTTGATTCTAAATGTATGCTCATATGAATTTATATAACATTGTAGTTTGAGTTTCACTATTTTGATGCAACAAGGTTACATTGAGGAATTTGTTTTGTACAAGCTTCACAATCTCAACCCTAAATTTCTAGTTGTGACATTCCAACACCAAGAGAATCCGTTTTAGGACAGACAATCCCACAATAAACAATTTTTAATAGATTCTATTTTGTAGAGATGAGGGAATTTTTCCTAAAATGTTGTTGTTCCACACCAAATATCTTTCCAGAACAGAATTTGAATATTAGATCTAGGAATAAGTCTGAATATTTGATGAATATCAATATCAATACCCCCATAGCTTTAACTGCTTTATGTATGTTACACTAAACCCTGGTAAAGGTCTTCCTAGCAATATAGTGCGCAGGTTTCATCGCCAGATTGTGTAGACTGATAACAATTGTTTTCCATAGGCTTCTATTTTCATTCATCATACGTCACCACCATTTGATAAGTAGTGCCAAATTATGTGCTTTTAGTGTTGAGACCCCTATACCACCATCTGAGATAGGAACTGTTAGTTTTTGTCATTCAATCCAATGAACTTTGTACTTTAATTCACCTCCCCCTCCCCCCAATAGGAAATTCCTTCTGATCTTTTCTAAAGTGTCAAGAATTCCTTGTGGTGCTTTGAAAAGAGACATGAAGTAGGTAGGTAATTTGTTTAGAATTGATCTGACAAGAGTAATGCGGCTGCCAAATGAGAGTGTCTTGGCTTTCCAGTTAGATAGTTTAGATCTGAACTTGTGAATGATAGGTTTCCATTGTTTCTTCAAACCCATGTTTGCTCCTACTGGTACTCCCAAATAATTAAATGGGAAAGATCCTTCAGCACACCCTAACACTCTGGATAAGTCCTTAGATTCCTGATCTGAAACCCTTATTCCAAATAATCGAGACTCATAGAAGTTGACTTTTAATCCAGATGAAATGTGGAAGCATTTTAGAATTGCTGAGATTTCTGATATATGGAAGGATTACATATTGCTGTGAAAAGTGCACGGGACAAAACCCTGATCAGAGGGGTTAAACTTCCATCAAATTGCCTTCATATTTCTCATTTGTTATATGCAGATGATGTGATCTTTGTAGGAGAATGGGATAGGGTTTATATTAGAAATCTCTCAGCAATTCTGAAATGCTTTCAATATATATTTTTATTATTTGCATTTGAATTATAGTCTTTTTTCTGGAAAGAATGGTCACTCCTAACAAGGGTGTCTGGACCAGCTTATGCGCAACATGACTAAATTGGTTCAACCAATTTTGGTAAATGAGTTTTTCAAGTTCTGAACATGATTTATCGTACACATGATTAAAATAAATAAATAGTTATATATTTGTGATCTCTGTTGTGATACATTTGTTTAATATATTATACAACTCAAAACGAAATTAACTAAAATAAATGATAAATTAATCTTTAAAGTGAGACAGTTTGATAAATTGGAAAAAGAGGTTAATGTATTTTTAATCCATCTCACATAAGTAGGAAGGTTTCTAAGCCTTGTTGATCTCTTAAAACTAAGGTTTTCTCTTACAAATGCACCACCGGCAGAAAAGTTCAACTATCGCAACAATGTTTCTTTTTATATGTGTGTGAATCGTCGTGACATACATGACAGGCTGTGTAAGATCAAGTTCGCTTTAAATTATAGATAATCCACATACTCACTACACTTCATATGTAAATTTTCTATGTTCACCTTACATACCTAACAGTTGCTTAAGTTCTCTAAGTTCCTCATTTTCGATGAATCTATGATACAACAACTAAAAGTGGTTCTTTTAGACCCCCCAAACCTAGCTAAGTTGGTATTTACCTTGAACATAATAGAAGAATGCAAGTAAGAAGTAGAGGAGTAGTGTCTAATAGTATTTCGTGTGTTTCACCTATCATACAAGGTGCATAATCACTGAGAGAAATCTATAATCTGCAAGTTTACATCAATTTTTAAAGAAGAGACCATGAAATTAAAATCGACAATCTATGATTAAAACTATGTTTAATGCAAATTTTGTAATTGAAAATCTAATAAATTTCTAGTTCTTAAAGAAATATTTTCTTAAAAACACCTAAGTTTTTATGGTCACTCGGTGGTACATTCACATTTGATCTTGAACAATTGTATACAGTTCATTTTGGTTCATAGTGTTATATGTTATAAGTCTTAAAAGGCTTAAAGGCCTTTGTACTTATAAACTCACTTCTTTTTCTATGTGGGATGGCTTATTCAACCTCTTTGTCCAATATTTCCAACTACCTCACTTTAGATATTAATTTCCCATTCATCCTAATTCCATTATCAGCATCTAATATGCCAAAACTGAGATATCATGGAGGAGACACACAAATGTATAACTGTTATATATTTCAATAATGAATCAAGTTATGAATTTATGTTCAAATTTGGGAAAACCCTGTTTTTGGAAAATAGGTAAATCCATTTTTATACACAAATAATAAACCTAACTATTGTGTGTAATAACCTATAGTCTAATAAAAATACCATTACATTCAAATGTACATCTAAGGAAATATAAAAGCATAACTGACTAGGTCTAGTTGTAAATGATTACATTAACAGGTTAGATTGACAAGTAAATTGTTCCAATAACAATCTCAAGTGCAAAACATAAATGGAACTAAAAACAAAAGCCAAGGTTTTAACAAAATAGATATTTCAAACAGTTAGTTGGCTGAAAGCTATATTAACCCATTATAAGAATAATGTTTTATATCAAAACCGATACATTAATTATTCACGTGATATGATTGTATGAACATATCTTTTCTCATCATAATCACATAAAAATAATAAATCTAACGATAATAATGATAATTTCTAATTGTATATTAATATGAAGGGCCCAAATAGAAGAATGTAGGTTAGCAGTAGGCGCTCCCTCGAGACCCTCTTTTATATTATCTCTAATTCTAAGTTGGACTTATAATACAAAGTGAAATCATAAAAGGGAGAACTTGGTACTTTAATCTCCTCCCCACATCCACAAGCAACAAACTAACAAGAGTACACACCACTTTTTCTTAAATCTTTTCACTAAATTATATCTCATAGATTATGCTCCAAAAAAGAATTCAATAACATATACGAACATGATTTTTTGATAGCCAGATTATATCTAACCTGTTTTGATCTTTATAAACATGTTTAATTTAGGGTTAATAGGTGACTAAACTTTTTTTAGGATCTCATTACATTATTAAGTTATATTTCAACTGTATAAACTAGCATCGAATCCTAAAGGTACTCAATATGATATTCAAATGTGACCGAATTTGTTCATTCAGGTTTACGTGACGCTGACAATGTGTCAACCTTGTCATCTGATATGACATAATTATCCAATTGAAATGCATTATAATAATATAAAGAGAAAAAAAAATACCACATTAAATGCAATAAAAAAATTAATTACACAAAAAGCAAACTTAATACTATTTTATCACCTTGAAAAAATTAACCCTTTATTCTATCACCGTGAAAAGATATTAAATAAATGAAAATTATTTTTGACATTTGTTAAGAGAAAAAGAATAAGATAATTTATTTTGTTTGCATACGAAAAAGAATGTAAATAGTATACATAAAAATTAGGTTTGCTTTGGATCCATGGGGTGGGGTTCTTGTGGACATTGGAGTTGCCTTTTTTGAAGTCATAGTATGCAGTAGATATATGCTACTATTACTGTTGCTATCTCTCTGCATATTATATCTTTTTCTTTATTTTTATTAACTACCTTTTTCCATCTTTACACCCTCATTTTGAGTCATCTTTTACTGCTCCCCTAAAAGTTATAAAACATAAATAAATATTAGGAATCCTATGCAGCAATTGTATCGTACAAATACAGTTTTATCCATGGATGTTGGTATCATAAATAAGAAATAATAGGAACCTTTTTGTTTTATAAGATAAATCTCTTAAACTATACGAATTTTCGCAGAAATTCTTATTCTCGCAGTCAAAATAATAAAACAATACATGAGAAAAAAAAAATTACAAATGACATAACCATTCGCAGTCACCGAGGATTTTCATAGTCAGGACCAAACAAAAAAAAATTATAATTTTGCACATGATGTCATCTTTGGTAGATGACATCATCTTTGGTGGATGACATCATCTTTGGCAGACGACTGATATGTGTATTTTTATAAATATTTTTATATATCATATCTTAATATTTTAGCATTTATTATTCTTATTTAGAACTAAAAGGTACTTATAATGTTTTGAATTATAATTTACAGCTATTGGTTGTTGATAGAGCGGAAAAGAAATGATTGGAACGGAATTCGGGCTTAGAAGCAAAAAGAAAGAAAATTGCTAAAGGCAGCCATTACGCCCAGCGTAATATCATTTATGCCAAGCGTACTGCTGAGATAAAGCTTAGGCCCCGCGTAGTTAGTGAGTACGCCCAGCGTACTAGCCTTGGGTCTGAAGATTGGATCAGAATGGTTTTCTTAGTACGCCCAACGTACGTAAGTCGGTCCAAAGTTTATAAAAAGCGATTTCAACTTACAAGAAGAGAGATTTCGACTACCATCGATCCTTAGTTGACAAGTAACACATATTTGGCCGTTTTGAGGGTCTAGAAGGTGGTCGGAGGGCCGTTAAGCTGACAGGAACGAAGATCTAAAGGATTAGAGAGCGGATTTGTGTCGGTAATCATGTGGTTTGTTAACGTGACCATGTTTAGTATTCCATTGTGATGCCACTATATTTTTACTTTCTGATTTTGGTATTAAAACTATCTCCTTTGAGTTTATGATTAGATGAAACCTTGAATTTGTGGATTAATTGCTATATTGGATTGTTTTATTCGTGTTTAATTTATCTTGTCGGACTTGTTAAAGATCCTTATATGTTAGTGATAATTATTTTCTATTAAATATCAATTTATGGAGTTGCATGAACATCTTCTTAATTGCTTGAATCATATAGTTTTGTGAACATAAGATTATATGCGTAGGAATAGTGAACATGAAACTAGGGTTAATTAGAAAATAAGTAAATCAATGCGTGAGCATGTGTAAGGAACAATCACATTTAAGTTGATTGAATTGACAAATTCAATTGACAATTATTACAAGTATTGTTTGATACGAACTGAACACTAGGAAACATGTTATTTTAATCAACTGATCACTATTTGAATTGATTTGTTTGCTAAAGGATTAGTAATAGTGAATATGAACCTAATCATTTTAGAAATTGGTGAACATGAATAAATAAATCAAAGAACCTAAAGAGATTTGTTTTCTGTCAGTTTATCAAGACTTACTATTTAATTGTTTGGTTGAGATTTAATTTAATAAAACTTTTCTTATTATTTTATTGTGTTTTTGTATAACCTGTAATTAAAAATTCTAAAATTAATTCACTACCGTTCCACTTGTTATCGAGACCCTTGCTTATCAAAGTTATAATATATTCGATCGGGTTCACTACCTGAAATGTGGTTTAGATGCGATAAATTAGAAATTATAAATTAAAAACTAGTGCATTAAAAGTTTAAAACTACACATCAACGAAGAGACATTTTGTGAAAATTATGGCTAAAAAAGATCATTTTTACTCTTTTTGCGCAATTTTGTGGTAAAAACATTTAAAAAGTGATTATTATTGACATTTTTTCAATTTCTTTATGGATAAATGATGTTTTTAAAATATTTAAGAAAATAAAAGTATATTTTAAGAAATGAAAGAAATAATAAATAACTAAAATCTGAAAACATTATTTCCTCGATTTTTTCTAGTAAATTATTCATTTCTTTTTGTATTAAATCAAATGAAAAGATTTATATATGTAGTTTACCACATTAAATCATTTACCCATTTTATAAGAAACTCATTTTGGAGGTGGGTTCGGGTTAAAAAGGGGAACATACCCATTGCAGCCTGCAAAGTTCTAAAGGGAAAAAAAGAAGAAACCAAGTATGCAACCATTAGGCCCTCTTCTTTCTCTTTAACATATTTCAATAAAGAGAGGAAGGGGTAAGGCGGAGCCACCACCTGCCACCACACTTTGAATAGACACCACCGTCTAGGATCCTTCTTTTTTTTAATCCCCATCATGCATCATAACTTGTATGATAACAAATGGCAGATAAAGAAACCATGGAATCACTCAAAATACAGATCAAAAGCATCCATGGTGTCTCCTACTCCTGCCCCCCTTTTTTTAATGTTAATAAAATTGTCTTATTTTAAGCCCCCACAACATAACACACTTCCAAGGTTGTATGCTTGCATAAATAATTAATGCTTCCTCAAAAACATGAACAACAATGTGGAGTTTCAATTCCAAGATAGAACCATGTGGACTAGTTTAAAATTTGCTAGAAAAAATAACTTTTTTTTTCTAGAAATTTGTTCTTATTTTTAAAATGGTTACAAAGTGATTGTTTTAAAAGTTTATATGAGTTCCCATTCCAATATAGATTAGGCTTCTTGTGAACATTGGGCTTATATGTTAGCATATCTAGTTGGATGATATATATCTGACTTACATCTCTCTCAGATGATGTTCGTAGGATAAAACTATGTGGACCAACTTAGAATAAGCAAGAGAAATAACATTTTTGTAGAAAACTCTTCTTATTTTCAAATGGATTATTTTAAGAGTTCAAGTTTCAACAACTGACATTTTGTTCTTATGTCGGCTCATCTAGTTCGTTAATATATTACACAACGTTTTTCAGACATAATGATATGGTATTAAGAGGAAAAACTTTTTTTATAAAGATTGGTTTTATTTTAAAATGTTGATAAATTTGTTTTTTTATGAGTTGGAGGAGAATGATTGTCCTTTGGCTAGCTAAGAGGGAATGTACTTGGGAAAAGATATTGCATATATATGTATGGTGAAGTCAGTCAATAATAACAAGTGAAGGTACTCAAATAGATTCCTTTCCAACCTCTCAAATTAAAGTGTCCTTCCAGGCTTCCATCACTACTCACTGACACATAAAACTGTTATGTATTTTCATACTTTTACATAATTACAACTACTTAACGTGTAGAATTACAAGTCATTGATGCATGTGAACCTATACCTTCATCCACAACTCCACAATACATGATATGTATACTACCACTACTAATTTTTTGTTATTAACACCGGTTCAGTTGTATGAGTTTAATGTATGTCAAACATACTACAACATTTATATTTTATATTGTGTAACAAACGGGCCTAAAGTACATCATGGTCCAGCTTGTTGTGAGATTATATGTAAAGGAAAACAACCAAAAGATTGGTTTAAACTTCTTAACGATAGAAGTCATGTTATATGGAGAAAAAAAAAAGAGAGAGAGAGAAAGGCTAAATCGAATTGTTTGTGGCTTTTAGGTTTACTATAATTGAAAGGATATGGTAGACCAATGGGTCATTATAGTGGAGAAGACTTGGGTCAAATTAATGCATCAATAGGCTTTGTGGAGTTAAAAGTCCGTTAGGAAAAAGAAGCCCATGTTGTATAGACTATAGTAAAGCAATAAGCCTCAAAATGCAAGGACATAGTACATAGATATAAACAAACCAAATGGGATTTGGATATACTTGCTATATTATAATGCAAGTGTTATGACATATGTCGTGGCTAAATTTTCGAAGTCGTGTCTTTAGCAATAGTAGTAGCTTTAAACTTTCAAAAGTAGTTGTGAGTTTATTCCATAAATGTTACCACTAAATTGTCTAATCATTAAAAAAATGAATGATCAACATTTATTTAATAAGATTTATTGAATAAACGTACAATTAGGGTCCGAATTCTCCACTATCAAGTTAAAAGTCAAAATAGGGATAGGCCTCTTCCATCTATCTATCTCTGGGCTAGCACCCAATTACCGGTGTGTGGATATTTGAAGAGGGCTTTGTTGTTGCTATCTAATGTATAAATAAATTTGTAAATTGGAGATAAAAATTAAATGGTAAATTTCTTTTCTGCAAACGCGAATTACAGAAAATTTTGATACCTTCAATTACTAAAATATCAAATGTACATCAAATTTCAACATCAAGTAACTTCTGAAACATAAAATTATACCATCCATCATATATATAACCGAAAATATTGATCAAACTAGCAGTTATGAAAATGTACATACCTCTTCTGATCAAAGAAAACCCACCATAAACCAGATTCAAACCTCAACTTCCCAGTGTCATATGATCGAACAGGTGGTGTGCATATCGAAAATCAAAACCCTTTAGCCCCACCGCTCTCTTCCAATTCATCAGCAGATTTTTTCTCAACCATTGATAAACAATACTTTGCAATTTCTCTAAATTTGGGGACACTTCTTAGATCAACCTTAGTTCCATCTTTTAAAGTGATGATCACATCACCCCATTCACCAATAAACCTTGGTACAACTTGAACATCTTTGACGACTTTATATGAAAAATCACTCCTGTCCTGACCCGTTAACCCGGATATCACAGTGACCCGTAAGTTTGTGAATCTGTATCGCAAGAAAAACCCTCTGAGAACTGCGGCTAGAGTGAGTGGCAGCCAAACGAGAGTGAAACCCAGGAGGAGATTTGCTACGAGGTCACCGTAGTGTGCTCCGCCGTCGAAAAAGATGGTTTCCTGGGTGGGTTTGGTGGTGGTGGTGGTGGAAATGGGTTTGTCGGTAGGGGAAGAAACGTGGAGTTTGGTGGATAGTCTGAGAGTTTTAAGGGATGCGGGTTTTGTGAAGGAGGATAAGGTGGAACGGAGCGTTTGATGGGCGATGGAGGTGGTGGTCGGTGATAGCAGGCGGGTGGTGGTCGTGGTCGTAGCAGTCGAGGCCGTTGCCATGATGGAGGTGGTGGTTTTATCCGTTAAGGATTGAATGGTGATCAGTTTTGAAGAGTTTGAACTTTGAAGTGTGATGATGGTGTGAAGAAGCCACGTGGCAACTTCTACGCCAATTAAGCTGGGAAAACTGAAATGGATTAGTTTGGTACTTCGGGTGCGATTTATGGCCCGGAGTGGGGACCACGTGAAATTGCATAAAATACAAATCTATTTGAAGCAATCTTACTGCTTACATATTTTTATAGAAAAGAGTAAATCAAATTAAATAGTACGATTTTTTTTAATCTCATAGCCTCAAATTACAATTCTTAAAACAACTTTAAACATGCATACAATTATATAAAACAACATAAACACATTTTACTAAATCTCGAGGTTATCTTTCTCATACTCAACGAATACTACAAGAGTTATATATTTTACACCAAAAAGTTAACGTTGATATAATAATGTAGTGAGGGTTTAGTTAATAGATTACATGATTGTCAAAAAAAAAAAAAAAAACATTAATTGGTTGTCCTACGCTAAAATTTCTTTCTCACTATAAACGATATACAGTGCTCGTATGTATAAAGGTACAAACCCAAAAACATGTGAAAAATGAACGAATCTTAAGAATGGCTTTGAAAACCTCGTACATTCAGGTCATTAAGTTGTTTCACCCAAAATGAAAACCTGTTGGCTTGTAAGAGTTGGTTGAGAGAGTTGGAAGCTTTAGCGATGCAAATACACCAGCAGCAAGGGCACTTACAGAAGCAAGAACAAATGCTGGAACATTCCCTCCACCAAATAACGCGTCCCATGGGCCCGCACCAAGTGACACCACCATCTATTCATCAATATCAAAACTCAGACTCAGACTGATGTCAATAAGAACAAAATTTGTAAAATACAAAAACAACCATGAAGAAAGAATCAAGCTACCTGAGGTATAACGATTGCAAGATTTAGAACTCCAATTGCCAATCCTGAATGCCACATCAAACAAATCAAAATAAGCAATATGTTAAGTTGTGTTTATAGGTGACAAATTTGACCCGTTTATAAAAAGGTGATAATTTTGGTACAGACCTTGGCCGCCACCTGTATCAGCAGTCAATTCTGCGGTGACAGAGAAGGGAACACTGTAAGTGATCTGCAACATACACACAGGTTAAATCATAGTAAAATACTTACATTTACTTAAAAATTAATAAATTATAGTAACCAAAGAATTGAGTATACTTACAGCAAGGGGAAGACCAAGAATGGCGAAGATAACCAAAGATGCATTCTTGATTGCCTCATTTTCTCCAACAACTTCTTGATTTCCTTGAGATTGTTTAACAGAAATTAAGGTAATGACAGCTGTCCCTGCCATGCTGGCAAACACAACAAAGTTGCTCAACGCCCAGACTAACCTTGAACCCATCCACTGACACATTGGCTCAATCAGGAAAGAGCTGATACCAAGAACCACCTGCCCAATACTTTTTGTGGTCAGAGAAATGATTATAAATATGAATTTAGTGAGTATTTAGAATTTGGAAAAGGAAATAAAAATGCAAGACTGTTGTTCTTACTGAATTCAATAGCAAACCAAAAGCACCTTCTCTAACACCTTCATCATAAGCTTGAACTTTGGCAGCATCTCCTTTTGGGTCCCCCATGATAAACCTCTCTCCCCATCCAATCCGTATCAAAAAGGAAAAAAGGGAACCATGACAACTGCACATGTACATATATAAAAAAAAAAAAAAAGTTAACAAAAGAAAAATGACCATTTTACCCTTGGTTTCATTTTAAAAAACTTACCCATGTGAGAGCCATGACAATAAGCACTGAATGCATCCCTACTGGTAAATGGCGTAAGCTGGTCAACAAGTTGACCAAAACTGCCCCTGGATTATCATTAAAAGTTTCAACTTGATCTTCTTCTTCATCCTCAGATGATTTACCAGAATTTGTCAGCGGTTTTGAGTCTGAATTTTCAGACCCAGTCTGCTGATGATTGTTAAGAAGAGGAGAAGAATCTGATAACTTTTTATGCTGTTTTGGTGCTAAAGGGATCTCTTTTGCAAAGTAGAGTGTCACCAGTGTGCAAAATGTAAGAAAAATCTGCAAACATGCCATTGCCAACAACATGTTAGAAACATTTGAAGGCTTTTTGCTTGTCAATTTATCAATTTTTAGATATATTTATATTTAGCCATTAAAAACTTACCACTGCAACTAAAAAAGCTGCCTTCAAATTTCCACATGCCTCACAACAAGCTCTACTTTTCAAGAAAGGAAACCACCTGCCATGGAGAATATGATCAAATTAATTAGAAAAAAACAATGAAAAAAAAGTCAAATAAAACCATACAATATAACAAGAAGACTTCCAATAGATAATTTACCTGTGCCAATTTCCACTAGAACCAGATAGAAACCCTAAGATGTTTCCAATTGCCATCCATGAACAAAATATAGCATTTGCTGAGTTCCTCTGATCAGGGCCTATCAAATAAATGAATAAATATTATTATTAGCATTTCTAGACACATAACATAAACATCATAAGGTGAAACTATTAACAGATTTGGGTTTAGGGTTTTGATCTAAAGTAAGTTTGAGGAATTCAGAAAACTTGGCACATACCTGCTAAATCAGCCAGGAGAGCTCGAGCGGGGCCCTGAAATTATTACAATTGTTACTTGAATTTAAAATAATAGTTTAAAACATAAGTTAAATAATCAATAAATAAATAAATAAATAAATCTTTTTTATAAATTGTTACCTGAACGGTGTTATTAGCAAGATCCAGCATCCAGAAACCTATGATGAAAACAAAAGCTGCTCTTGTTCGTGTACCTTTATACACACTGCATTATGTAATTATGTTATATACAATCAATTATTATGAAATAAAATGAGAGATATAAACTATAAAGAAGAAAGTGGAAACCTGCAATGTTCCTTTGTATCTCCAATCAAGTATCCAATGTCTGCAGAAAACCCGATAGTTATCACCTAAAGTGCAAAATGTAGTTCAGTGGATACAAAATATAGTAAAATAAAACTGCTGAAAAAAATATATTTATGTCATGTGAATGCTCACAGCAATTGATATCATTAGGGATCCAACTAAGATAAATGGTCGTCTTCTCCCATATTTTGAAGTGCATCTATCACTCCAAATACCAACACAAGGTTGAACCTGAAAAAACATATGATAATTTGAGATCAATTTACAAAAAACAAGAAAAAAGAAGGAAGAAAAACAATGTTTATTTAGTCAGTATAACAGCAGAATGTTTGGTACCCTAACATAGAGATGCAATTGATATCAGGGGTGATTTTGTAATTTACTCTTATGAGAGACATAGGATGATACGTGTCCTGTTCATTGAACCATGTGACTTATATAATGATTGCATAGATATTGTTATATATTGATGAAGTAAAAAGTAAAAGTAAAAACACATCAGTGTCAACAAATGCATGCATGTGATCAGGTAGGGCCATTTGTAACTAATGGGCATGTATAAAAAGAAAAGATTTTCTAGCCTTAAAATATCAGAAAAATAAAAGAAATGGTATGTTGACTTACCACAAGACCTGTAATGGGCCCACAAAGCCAGATAAATGAAGAGAACGCATGCCCTATTCCAAGTGTCTGACATAAACAAACAAAAAGTTGGAGTCAATAAAAAGTTTGACCACAAAAATAAAATAACAAACTAACTTGACCTGTAACTGATAAAAAGACAAAGTTATCCCAAAGGTAAGTCTTGCTAATGCACCAATATTAGTATGATATGATATCAGAACACAGATATATGTTGTTTCATGTTGTAATATACCAAAAAGGGAACTTTTTATTCAGTTTAAGACATTCTCAAAAAGGGAATAATTGAGTTAAGTTTGGGACTGAGAAACATTTATATCAGCACCAAATAGCCCACTGCCATTCCATTAACTTTTAATTGATATTGACTACTTACTCTCACATTAACATTAAGATCAACTTACACATTTGCACCTAAATTTGACAAGATCACCAAAAGAAATAAGTGAAGACAAGTGAAGGGATGGATAAGAGGCATATGCATATCCATATTAGTTCAATCTTTTCTTTCCTCTTTCAAGTGCATATCATCACATTAGTTAAAACAATGTTTAACAGTCTTGAATCTTGTTTATCTTTTTTGAAGCAGATATGCTATTTGCAAAAGAGATCTTATTTGAAATAACAAGGTGCAATCAAAAATATTTTATGATTCATCAAAAGGGCTCATGCACCTCAGAGGCCGAGCTACTATTCATCAACATCATGGGCCTTAAACAGTTCAAGGATCCAATTTGTTAAAAAAACTTTTAGTGCCTAAGCGCCCCATTAACAATTATGCTCCCCAACTTGCATAAAGGCTAGGAGCCTTGGTGCATCAGGCACTAGCTCTATTCATGTTCAAAAAGACCTTCTCATACGAATCCTTCATAAAGTCATGCAGAATTACCCAGCTAGGAAGTATAGGAAGGAGACGGAATATTCATTTTCAGTTCAAATTAGATATGAAAGTAAGTTCTCATCAACCACCATCATCATGAAACATGCTTAAAGCACCCAAACTTACACTATGCAATTGAGAGTCCACTTCAAGACTTACATTCCAAGTACACAAAAAATGACAAGTTACAGATAAGAGCAAGATATGATCTCTCAACTACTTAGATTTTCCTGAGAGAGGAAGGCATTATGTGTAGGTGTGTGATGCTGTGTGCATGCACCTAATTTCCAATAATAGTTATGGCCTTGCATATGTCATCAGTATGTCACTTGCATAGATAAGTAGTCCTATCTTGAGTATTTTTGGTCAGTTGGACTAAGCCACAGCATTATACCAAGCCTCTATTTCCTAACTTAAATTTCAAGTACCCAGAATTGGAATCCCCAACCAATCTCATATCTAAGGTATCATGAATCCCGGATATATTAAGTATGTACTATCTCAAAATATTCAGGCAGTTCTTTCTCAATCAGGAAAGGGATAAGCGGATTAAAACCCTCGACAAGCAAGGTATTATCACCAGGGATCTAACCTAATCACTATACGTATATTCAACCTAAGTGCACAAGCTTCAATGGATGACAGCGGACACACGCAGATAAACGCATAGACATATATCCATCTATTCATACATTCACCAAAACTCGCTGTCAATATGTTAAAATTAAAAAGAGAGACCTGGATATAAGGCGTAAGAAGCGAGAGTTGCAAGGCCCAACCAAATTGAACTCCGGCAGCCACCGTACAGCTCAAAATCAGCGTAATCAAGCTACAATTCTCCGTCGGCAATCCTTGAGGTGAAGAAGAGGAATGATTGGAGCCATTTCCATTAGAAAATCTATTCGAATTATCGGATTCGATCCGTGGATCAGCTTCTTCCTGGAAACTCATCATTTCAACCTCCGCATCGGCATTATGCTTGAGGTTTTTGTAAGGAACACGGATCGACACCGAATCCATCGCCTCTAATTCAAACTCGGATCCACAAATTACACATTACACATTACAGTGAAATAGATCTGGAGTCGAGTTTGAGAATATATGTTGACTTTTAGCAGCGGCGATGAAGACGTGGAGTTTAGACGAAGTGACCGACACTCAACCACGGTCAAATTTGGCCGGAGGGATATTTTACTTTGGATCGGCGGAAAGTGAAGTGTGATGTCGGCATCGCGATCGATGAGTCTTTTGAAAGTGGCCCCATTCAGATTCCAATTTCTTTTGTATGCTTACGTCAAGTTTGATTCTATTCCATTCAAATGGTAAATATTTTTATTTAATCCTTTATATTTTCAACTTATATTCAATTAAACCTTAGTATTTCTTTTTTAGCAATTAAGTCCAAATTACTTGTTATTTTAATCAATTTATTTTAGGAAAGTAGAAGGTTACCCGATGGACAACCAGTAACACGCTTGTATGGCATCGTGTGTGGCATGCAATGTGAATAACTTAGGGCTTTTAACCGGGGGGGGGGGGGGGGGGGGGGGGGGGGGGTGTTCATATGCGAAGGTAAAAACGAAGACCAATAAGAGAAATTAAGGTTTTACCGTGCAAATATCTCATATGTGGAATGTAAATCATGTTGGAAAAAGTAGGGTTTGTAGTGGAGATCCGGATATCACTTGGATCGTGAGAACATTTTCTGAACTAATATTTCTACTATATGTCTAGGTTGCAAGAAAATTAACCTAGGATAATCCAAGAGCACGCTTACGATTTTGGGCACAGAAGTTGTAAGTCAAATTACTGGAAAGATTCTATGTTTGTTTGATGAAAGCAAGAGCTTAAGAATTTCGTATATCTCTTCTCAAAGAGAAGAGTCGTTTATATAATAAACGAGATTAGGGTTTGAATTAGGGTTGATCGTCATTGGTTGCTTCAGAAGTAAGTCAAGGAAATCCGGATTATAATGAGGATTTAGGGTTTCCAAAACTAACGAATTTCGTCAGTTTTACCATAATCACCATCAAGAATTCGTTTTCCCCACTATGTTCCCATATGTGTATTTTGAAAAGTTTTTGGGGCACTGCCGCTTGGACCCCGCTAGGGGCGCTGCCCCTACACCCCGCCAAAGGGGTGCCGCCCCTTTGGAAACCCCGAACCCAAGGGCGCTGCTCCTAGACCCTTGACTTGTCGTCGAACCGGCTTCTAATTCGATCTTATACATACGTGCACTCCGCACAAACCCGAACATATATTAGAGTACAAATTATGAAGCCCTTTAGCTCGAATGTTAGTTCCACTTATATAAAACGACAGTGTGCACTAAAATCATCAACAAATCGCACACCATTATTCATTTATGTACACCGATTTTTAGTCAAAAGTATATTATTGACATACATTTTTACTTGCAGTGTATTTATAGAGGAATCTTTTGAAACCAGCAAGACATATTATTATTCTAATGAATACGACGAGGAAAATTTTGACATTGATCTAATACATGTCAAGTTGGAAGAGGATTTCAAAGCACAAGCTAAGGAGAGATGCAAGGATGTTTTCTTATCTATTTTTTTTTTAGAAATTTGGGGTATAGAAAGGCTTGGAATTTCTGAGAATTGTGATATCAGTTTCAGATTAAAATATTTGGGTGGTAATCTCAATCTTTAATCGGATAAGACTCAGAATATAAGAGCAAGAACAGAGAATGTGATTGTTATCAATTTCGAATGTACCAAAAAATGAGACCAAAAACTGATTTATGATCTATGCCTAAAAATTGTCATATGGTAGTTTCAAACTGTCACAAACCACCAAAAACAGTCATAAACGGGTATTTGGATAAAAGTCAAAAACCAGCCAGGGGCGTTGCCCTCGTACCCCCGTTCGTTCAAAGGCTTCACCTCTAAATGACAGTGAACTTTGAAACTTGATCAAAATTAAACAAGTGTGCACTCCACATCTCCCTTACTTGTTTAATATTTATCAAGATCATTTTTGGTCAACAAATTAATCCTATTACACTTAAATAATATTGATGATAACAAATCACCAACAAAGGTCCCCCACTTAAGTGTAATCTTGATTAACTTAAAACAAAACATAACAACAACAAATTGATTCATAAATGAAATGTCGTGACGATTGAATTTCACATTAGTATATTATTCATTCCAAATATTCGAACATTAGGGTTTCACTAAGGATTGAACCCTTTCTATTCATAGTAAATACATGAAGATAATACACATAACAGTTTACATTCTCACAAGCTTTAACTTGACACCATATTTTACTAGCTTGTGTCCCATCCTTCATTAAGCATATCAAATCCAAGTCCTAATTTCTTGAAGTAGATAAACTTCATGCTTATATAGGTAGTCCTTTTATTCTTGCACCTGCAAATGCAAATTTTCAAAAGAACTATTAAGAATATAATTCAACCTCTTTTACTTGTAGTATTGAACACATACCTTAGGATGATGATGATAATGTGTTCCAATCTTCAAATATCAAGCTTTCCACATTGAATTCAATATCTAATATTACACTATATGGGAATTGGGTATCTCAATATAAAAGATTTTAGGTGGACTTTAAACTCATCCCTATAACCGTCTTATACACAAGATATTGCTAACCCGTTGGTTAGATGATCGCCCAGTTCAATTGAGTTCTCACAAGCTCCACATATATCACACCAGTTATGATGAGCTCACGAACCATGTTATGTCTAACACCTAAGTATCTAGACTTCCCATTGTATAGTTGACTATAAGCCTTAGCCAAGGTTGCAGCACTATCACGTCTGATATAAATGGTAGATTTTGGTTTAGGCCATAATGGAATTTCATAAATCAAATTCCTTAGCCACTCAGTTTCATTACCAACAACAGACAATGCTACAAACTCAGACTCCATAGTTAAGTTAGTAATACAAGTCTGTTTCTTGGATGCCCAAGAAATGGCTCCTCATCCAAGAAGAAATACCCAACTACTTGTAGAAGAGTGATATTCTAAGTTGGTAATCCAGTTGACATCTGAATAACCTTCCAAAACAAAAGGATATTCACTATAAGTCAAACCATAATCCTCGATTGCTTTCAAATACTTGAATACTCTATTCACTTCTTGCCAATGATTTGTACTAGGATTACTAGTATATCTACTAAGCTTTCCCACAACAAAAGCTATACCAGACTTAGTGCTAATCATTGCATACATAAAACAACCAATTGCTCTTGAATATTCAATTTGAGACACTGAAGATCCTTTATTTGGTTGAAGCTTAAGATTAGGATCTATATGAGTGCTTACATGAGAACAATTCTCAAAGTTAAACTTTTTCAATATTTTCTCAATGTAATAAGATTGAGAAATTGAAATCCCATTGTTTCCTTTCCAAATTCTTATACCAAGAATTACCTCAGACTCCCCCATGTCTTTCATGTAAAAAACTAGATGATGAGAATTTATTGGGTTTATCAACTTTACCTTGATCGGTACCAAAATTAACATATCATCAACATATAGACAATAACTACCAGAAGAATCAAATTTGTTATATACACATTCGTTATCCTGGTATAATGTAAAACCATTAGACAATATCACATCATCAAATTTTTGATGTCATTGTTTTGGTGCTTGCTTCAAACCATATAACGATTTCTTCAACTTGCACACCTTTTCTTCATTATTAGGCATCAGAAATCCTTCAGGTTGTTTCATGTAAATTTCTTCATCCAACTCACCATTCAAGAATGTAGTTTTCACATCCATTTGGTGTATCACAAGATTATGTATAGTTGCAAGAGGTAACAATAATCTAATAGAGGAAATTCTAGCAACAAGAGCATAGGTACTAAAGAAGTCAATGTCTTCCTTTTGCCTATAGCCTTGGATAACCAATCTAGCTTTATACGTATCAGTTATTCCATCCACCTTCATTTTCCTTTTGAGGATCCACTTACTTCCTGATGCCTTGAAACCAGGAGGTAAATCAGACAATACCCAAGTATTGTTATGCATTATGAAATCAATTTCATCATGAATTGCTTCTTTCCATAAATGAACATCCCTATAAGCCATAGCTTCACTAAAAGTCTTTAGATCCTCCTCAATATTAAAGCAATATTGATGCTAACATATAGTCTCATCCCTTAGGATCCAAAAGACTTAGCTTTTCTAGCTCTTATGTTTTTCCTAGGTTCAGGTACAGAACTTGCATCACCGGAAATATCTTCAACTTAAAAGTACTCTTGTTGGAAGATTGATGTATCGTATCCTTAGGTCTAGGTATAAATGTAAATCTTTATTCATCGAAGATATCATCTCTTATCTCTATCACAATGTTTAGAGACACGAAGTCATTAGATTCTAAAACATAGAATCTATATGCTTTGGAATGCTCAACATATCAATGAAGATCCAATCCATACCTCTCTCACCCAATGTTTTCCTTTTGGGTTCAATGAGCCTTACAAATGCTTTACAACCCTAAACTTTGAGATAACTCAAATTTAGTACCTTTTTACACCAAAGTTCATAAGGAGTATTCATACTCCTTTTATTTGGAGTATTGTTCAAGATGTAACATGTTGTTAACATTGTCTCACCCTAAAAACCTTCACTTAATCCATAATAGGACAACATGGAATTAACCATTTCGTTCAAAGTCTTATTCTTCCTTTCAACTACACCATTTTGTTGTGTTGTATAAGGAGCCATGGTTTAATGTATTATTCCTGTTGATTCAAAATAATTTGGATCATAATACTCGCCACCTCTGTCAGTACTCAAGACTTTTACTAATTCATTTTTATGTAGTTCTACTTATTGCTTATAGATTTTAAATTTATCAAGAGCTTCATCTTTTGAATGTAGAAAATAGACATAAAAATATCTAGACCTCTTCTTACTAATCTCGTGTGCTGTCCTTTAGAAGACAAGAGGCAAGTATGACCTTTTCCCCCTCGGGGAAACTGCTGGTGCGGAAGGCGTTAGCAACATCCGCTAACCACCTCCTGCCCACTATCCGGTCCTTCACCTCGTGAAAGTCCGGAGCCCCACATGATCGGAACTCCCTGAAGGTCAATGAACGCGCCCCAACCAAGGTCACCAGCTCAGAATGAAAGGTGATCAACCGCTCATTTAAAATCTCCATAATGTCCTCATTGACCATACCAAAGATTGTAGGAGTCTACTCAAGAATGCAACGCGTAATCTCAGACGAGATGAACCCCTTCGTCTAATCATCTAGTCGCCTGACTCCAGAACCTGAGCCCAAGCTCTCTCCAGCACTAGAACTACCAACAGGTCTGCCTCGCAATGTCACCATACTGAAAATACACCATATAAACCATCAGAATAAGCATCATAATACATCGAGGGATCATAATCCCTACAAGTTTCCTGGTTTCATCGCAACCCTCCTTGACTCGAGTACGTGTCCTTTGCTTCCACTAGTACGGGACCATACTATCTTCCACTTTTATCTGTACTCTCCTCAAGGATTGCCTTGAATCTGCCAAGTCACCCTATATCCATGCAAATAACCCTCAACAAAATAAGGCTCCCAACACTAGATCTCGTCCTAGGTTTTCCTAGGCAAACTCCACACCACTCTCCGCCATCAGTTGCAGAAGGAACTCCCGCTAACTTACTCTAACTAGCTCACAAATACAATTACATATCATAAAAACCAGATAATTCTTCGAATGAAAGGTCTCACACTACAACAGTTTGACTCAAACAAGAGTTGTGCAATATAGTTAAAACCTAACCTTCTAAAATTATTTAGTTCCCATAATATGTAACTTAGCATATTCACTTACTACTTAGCTGAAGCTAGTAAGAACTCCTAAAAGAACAAAGCAAGCAACATTCGAGCATCAAGTAACTAGAACCAAGCATCACTTAATCAGGCCATCCTATCACTGACTGATCGGTACTAGCTTGCAAGTCTACAAGCTCATAAAATAGGCATACAAAGGCATCTCTCCCAAGCATTCTATCATGCAAAAACTGAGCAGATCCTTATCCCTAAGTAGCACGCGATTCACAGATTCACAAATCAAATCATATCAAATAACATGTATGCGTATTTTGGGAAAACTTACTTAAGCTCGGTTGATTGAATTCACCAGACCCTTTCTTGTCTTAGAAAAACTCTTTTCTTAAAAATACATTTATTTTTGAAAAACTTTACCAAATCCTCAGTTTGAGTTCAGATACACCCGATAGTATGTCCGAATCCCTCAAACCAAGACTCTGATACCAACTTGTAATGTCCCAAAAATAAGACCCAAAAATTTCATTTTTAAATTAATAAAATCAGTATTCCAGAAACATCATCATAAAAATCTAGATAAAACAAATGTATCAAACATCACATCATATCAGAGTAAATCAAGAAAATGCAGAACGAGGTGGTGTGTGCTCTACAATCATCCTGATCCCTTCTTTTTGGAACTAGAAGTACCTAAAACATAAACTGAAAACCGTAAGCACAAAGCTTAGTGAGTTCCCCAAAATACCACATATCATTCATAATAAACACATAATGGGCCCCGCCCGGTATCAAGCCCCGCTCGGTATACAGATCGGGCCCCGCCCAACATGCATATAACATATATATCCTATAAACACATACACATGCAAGCATACAAGTACACAACACATGTAAGAGTCACGCATACATCTAGCACCCTAACATAACATAATCATGGGCTGACATTGGTGCTT